CATTTGGTTTACTTTAGAAGAAGAGAAATAAAGAAGAAAAAAAAGGGTGATGATTTTCCCTCAATTTGTTCAATTGACGATTGAGTTAATCCATTAATAGGGTGACTTTGGTACTTTTCATCCATCAAAAGATGATTTTAATCTCAATAAATTTTTACAAATAAAAATTAATAATAAAATAATTACCTTACTACTTTAAATTTATAAATTTATGCATGATATATATCTTTACAAAGTTTATATATTTTTTATCATTATTAATTAATATTTTAATTTATAACAAATGACAATATATTTATTATTTACAAAAAATAAAAATTAACATTACAAAATATTCAAGAATATAATATTAGGTTGAATCTATCAAATCCACTAATTATGTTTATATGAAAAATTGATTTTTAATTTCAAAACTTTTATAGAAATAAAAAATTAAATAATGAAATAATTATTTTAATAGATAAAAGTTATGAAATTTCATATGATATATATCTTATAAATTTTAATAGATTTGATATATTTTAAGTTAAAATTATATTTTTTATAAATTATTAAATGACAATTTAATATTTGGTTAACTCTTTTTGTTAATGTTAAAAAGTAAAAATAATAAAATAGAAAAATTGATATAATAATAAAGATAAATATAATAAGGTCCATCTTGGACTGTTAATTAATGCATTGTATGATTTTTATGCATTCTAACATATTAGCTATAATATATTTTTATGTACACCATTAAATATATATATATATATATATTTCTGATATATTTAAACATTATTTATGGCTATTTGACCATAAATTTAGTGCTATTAATGTATTTATGAAATTTGAATTTATATGTATTTCCCTAGTGTATCCAAGTGTTTCTACATTTTTCATTTGTATACACGTGTTTCAAAAACATATCTATATTTGTATCCGTATCCAAGTTATCCGATATGATACTCGATACCGATACTTTAATCATTGATCAATAGCATGTAGTTGTAGATGTTGGACACTAACAAGACTGCCTCATTGTCATGTGATTTTATGTATTCAGTCACAATAAGGTAAAGTCATGACTATGTGGATCCATTGTATACTAATGAGAGGTGCCTCAAGGCTTATGTCACTATGTTTTACTAGTGCTTGATGAATCCCAATGGCCAAGGAAAGGAGGAATCCAATTAAACCACCACCATTCAAAAAACAACCTAATAGGCCAAAGAAAGACAGGAGGAAGGGGCCAAATGAAGTCATTTCTAGGGGTTCATGTGTCTAAAAGGTTTAGGAAGATTAAGTATACAATTTATGGAGATGAAGGGCACAACTAAAGAAATGAAAAGGTCAGGGAAAAGGCAATCGAAGACCACAATTTGAGCCAATTCATATCATTTGTAGTTAATTTCATGTTTGGTTAAAGAACCACAAATTGATAACATTGTTGTTTTATGCATAGGAGGGACAATCTAACATAAGAATGCAAGTTAGGGATAGGTATTATACATTGGTGTTAGAATCTCAATTAGTTCAGGCAAATCTCCAGGTGTCTCATCATAGGAGTAGTGCTATGGGAAAGGGTAAAGGAAGGGCACAACATACTCATTCACATGTTTCTTCACAACAGGTTCCAACCCAACATACTAATCTAACATTGGAAAATTGCCCATTTAATAAAAATATTTTAAAATCTCAATTAAAACCATGTTTAAATGGTAAATTATTTCATATTAGATGTGGTTGCACGTCTTAAATTTATGTATTCAAGATGCTTTAAATATTATTTTTCATAATATCTCTAAAATTAAAAAATTGTATTATATGTATTAGAAGTTCTGGAACAAGAAAACACAAATTTAAGTATTTTCGTCAAAAACATGGTTTAAATATACAAATGTTTTATTGGATGTTCAACATAGGTGGAATTTCACCAATTATATGTTAGAAAGTTATATTTCAAACAAAATATTCTTACTGATTTTTATAATGAGAAAATGCTACATGATTTTATAACTAATGGTGACTTGGAAATGACGATTTGAATAAAAGATTTCTTTATATATATTTTATGATAGAACTAATGAATTTTCAGGTGTTTATTACCCAACTTCTTGTATTTTAGTTAATCATGTAGTATGATTAGTGAATATTTTGCAAAATATATAAATAATTTAAAATTTTAAAATACTATTGAAATAATGGAAGTTAAATTTAAAAGATGTTGGAAAAATATTTATCCTCTATATTGCTTAACTACAATATTAAATCATAGGATTAGGAAAGATGGTTTAGATGTTTTACTTTAATCTTAGGGCTTATTCGTTTCTTTGAAGTCTAACATCTGAAAGTGCAATAGTTACATTAAGAGGTATATTGGTATTGGTGAACTTTTCTTTCCTCTGAACTTTGAATGCAGAGAATGTTGTTCTAAACTCTGAATTCTGAATTTTGAAAATTATCAAATATCCATTTTGATCCCATATATAAGAGTTTTTGTTTGTCTTTTTGGGGGTATCATTGGAAGACAAAAAATTGTATGATTGCACTTTAAGAGATAAGAGATAAGAGGAGATGGACAATCAATTTTCTCTTAAAGTTAAAATATTCCTATTAAGAGATAAGAGGAAACAAACATGCCCTTATTGTGAAAATATGAATATTGATATTTGAAATAAAAAAAAGAAATTAGTAGTTTATTATTTGAAATATACAACTTATATAGATCTCAATTATTATGGCATAGAAAAATTTGTATAGGTACAACTTTCACTCTGAAACATCTAGTTGTAATAGTAGAAGAAAAATTTTGCTTTTTAATAAATAAAAGGTAGAAATATATTGTTACTTCATCATCAAGTTCATTTATTGAAATTAATTTTTATTCACAAGCTATTTTTTAATTTAAACGATTCCTTGGAGGAATTAAATAATTTTGGTATTTTAGCCTAGTAAAGTGAACATGGAAAAAATTATATAGTTTTTACCACCATGGCACATGATCTACTAACCTCTCCAATGATGGCAAACAATCTACTAACTCCTCCAAAGTCTACAATTCCGTTGGAGTCTTGTTTTAATGTAGATAATAGGGTGTTGGATGATTGGAAAATTTGCATGAACGATGAAAACCTGGAGATATGCATATGCTTGAAAGATTGGGTGGATGTTGCAGATTAACTAGAAGATAAAGGAGGTTGGATTGTGAAAATTAAGAACTTGTGGCCATTATGGCTTTGGGCTAAATGATGGTTTATGGTTTTTTACGGGTTGAATAAACAAATTACCCAATTAACCAGTAAAACCGCTACACATTCGACATTCCGGTTTTTAGTTCAGTTCAAGTCATAGGGTCCATTTGGTTTGCGGCTGGAATCAGAATCGGAATGGTCTATTCCCATAGTCTGTTTGGTTTAGACAGGAATGGGAAATAGAAATTGGAATCAACTGGAATGAAATTTCATTCCAAAGGGAGGGGCAAGGAATGACCATTCCTTCAAATGGGGGAATGCCATTCCAATTATGCTCAACCAAACAGTTGTAATTGGAATAGCCCATTCCGATTCTGGTTCCATACCCCTATTCCTGTGAACCAAACGGGGCCTTAATTCTTAAAACATTGTATTAGATATGGAGGGGTGAATTTGGCATATGTGCATAAATAAAATGGTTGTTCATTTGAGAAAGTTCATTTAGGGTCTGTTTGGTTCGCAGTCAGAATCAGAATCGAGATTCTCCAGAATCGGAATGGTCCATTCTCATAATCTGTTTGATTTAGGCAGGAATGGAAATGAGAATTGAAATCAGCAGGAATGAAATTTCATTCCCAAGGGAGGGGGAATGAATGGCCATTCTCTCAAATGGGGGAATGCCATTCCAACAGCTGGAATGGGAATGGGATTCTGATTCCATCCCATCAAACAGTTGGAATCGAAATAACCCATTCCGATTCCGATTCCGATTCCAGACCCATATTCCCATGAACCTAAGGGGGCCTTAAATTTCTGATAGAAGTATAGAACAACTAATAAACTTGATTAGGTTGATCTTATTCAGACATACAAGATGTTTTTTCATTTGCATCCGGAGCATCCCGGAGGCTATTTCAGAAGCTGAGTAAAGGGGAAGAGGATGTGCATACTGAAATGGGCTTTCAAAGATTCAGGGATGCAACTCGGATTAGCCCAAATTAGCACTTACAATTTATACACTGTTTTGTTTTGTTTTTGATAATAAATACACTGTTTGTTTTGGGTTCGAGACTTCGTGCCGATGCATTCAAATTTGGGCAAAAGCCCAACCCGAACAAGTTGCATCTCTATGATTAGTACTATAATCGGCCCAGCCCAGCCCAACCCAGCCAAGCTGCACTCCAGTTCACGAACCTTGTATTCTCACATCTATATGTATATAACTTGGATTCTCAGTCATGCAATTCGAACTTCTACGCAAAATCCTGGCCGGAATAAATCATTAAGAAGACGTTAGCCTTCCATGCAAGGCAAGTCTCCGCCGGTAGTTTTTTTAACAGAGATTGAAACTACTGAAACTATCCATCTCTTTTATCATGTTTACTTTATCATTCGTTTAACAAAATAAACTCAGTCTCTTAACTCTCACGGAGAAGGGTTAAAATAGTCATTTCGTACAGAAATCTTCCTGGTAGCGTACACCGATCTTAGGTTATGTCCAGGCCTGGCTAGCGTAACTGACAGTGAAAAGAAATTAAAAATGAAAAGGTTATAGAGAGTAAGCGAGTGGCGACGCCACCCTCTCCATCCCTTTCGCAAAAATAAAAAAATTCCTTTTTTTTTTCCTTTCTTTTTTTTTTGAATTTTAGGGTTTCGAAATTGATCATCCCTCCTCTTAGATCACCGGTACTGATATTCGACCGACGAACAGTGATAATTCTTGCGCAATTCGATCTTTCTCGACGTGTTTTAGATCGAGACGTTTGAGAGTTCAAATCGTAGTTGCTAGGGTTTGTTTTCTGTTCTGAGTGAGAAGTAGCTTTCATGGCGGATCAAGAAGAAGAGGACTTGCGAATGGCTCTGCGTATGAGTCTACAACCGTCACCCCCTGAGGCGAAAAGGAGCAAACCTAGAGAGAATGCCGGTATTCAAAGTGTTTCTTCCAATTCGGAGGAGTCGCCCGAGGCGAAAAATCGGAAATTGCAGCGAGAGCTTATGGCCGCGGCTGCAGAGAAGAGGATGATGCTGGCTAAGAATGCTGCCTCTGCAAAGGCGGGGAGGGTTGCAGTTGCAGTTGCCGTGCCGGAGCCGAGCATTCCCGTCACCAAGGCAGAAAGGAGTGTTGTTGCAGGGCCTGTTGGACAAAAACCCGAGGCGGAGTGTACGAGGGAGGAAGCGAAAAATGTGACCTTTGGGGAAGAACTATCTTCTGCAGAGGCGGATCAGTTGTTTTCAATGGTGTTTGGAAGTGGCGTTTCGAAGGATATTCTTGCTCAATGGAGTCATCAGGGCATAAGGTAAGGTATACATTCTGTTTTTAGCTTTTCGAGGTTTTGCATTTGCTTAAATGCTTAGTAAGAAACTAAGAATTAGGGGCAAACTTAGCTGGACTAGTATTATAGTGTATTTATTTATTATTTCGTTATTGTGCAGTTTCTTGAGACTGTAATGCTACCGCTTTTATTGGGATATACCTCTCATTATGTGCAACAACAATCACACCTTCAACTACAAGTTAATTTTGTGATTTTATGGTGTACTTTTTCCCTAATATTGGAGACATTTTTTTTTTCAATTATAAATAATACATATACACTGACTGTTGTACATGACTTCAATGCAAAAACCTGGTTATGGACATGCTAGACATTTCATATCTGCTAATTACCATGATTAATGATTATTTGGGTACTATTGATGTTATTCCTATGTTTTCACCCATGACGCATCCCTACCTTAAACAATTTATCTTGCCTATCAACTAGGTTGTGATGCACATAGAAGTGCAGAAACATTGGTTAGAATGATTGATCTTACATGGTGTATATGTGGTTTCATCCTTATGAATTACTGGAAAATGGAAAGGAACCTAAGCAACATATATAAAGATAATATATATATATATATGTATAATATATCTATCTATCTATCTAACTATCTATCTATCTATATATATATCACAAAATAAAGCAAAGCACTTTGCAAAGCAAAGAATCTAATACGATAATCACAAACTAAACAATATCATTCGAACTTATACATGAAGAATCTAGCAAATTAGGAGGATACAGTACTTTACTATTTTATTAATTCAAAAGTTCTCATGCTTACGTGTCCTTGATGCTTTATACTACTATCATCTTAGCCTTTTGAGATAACCACTTTCCTGGTTCCTCACCCTTGGTCGCTCACATAAATATTGCTCTTCATTAAATTAATTTCTGGAATCTGGATAAAAGCTGGGAATCTAACTGTGGCCGTGTGGGTCTTCCATACAGTTAAAGCATAAGTCTAGCAATGCTTGGCAGCAAACTTGTTCTTTTGGAAAATTTCATCATTTCATGTCTTTCCTTTGATTCTTTTGCTTGTGTCATGAGATGATGCTTTTGCTTAACATTTTGTTCCTTTTAATGATTGATTTATATAATCGATGGTGATTTAGCTTTGTTTATTTGTTGGCTTTTTATAAAATTTTATTGTAGGTTTAGCTCTGACCAAGAAACATCTATGGGCCTTGTACAACATGAAGGGGGGCCTTGTGGCGTTTTAGCAACCATACAGGTGATGCCGTAATATTTCAATGTTTATCTATGTGAGGTTGCAATTTTATAGACCCCTGTAATGCATTTGAACCTCCTTTAGTGTGCAGCACATGCTTTCAAATTGTGTTGTTTTCTATGTGAAGCACCTGGTGCTTCCAAAGTTGATGCTTCATGAACCTTAATGTTGAGTGATTGTTCATGTTTTGTGATTTGTGAATCCAACACTGTCAATTTATACCTGTGCCATCCATTTCAAATTGCAATTCTTTAAATGACAACTTTTTTGTTTCTTTTTTCTCCAATGTTTTTGGAAAGCACACACACTCTCTCTCTCTCTTTCTCTCCCTCCCCTGCACATACAGACACACACACACACACACCCTATTTACAAATTCAAGGCTTTCTGCATCTGCATAACAAGTCTGACACGCCGATACTTTTATGATACATGAACTTTGGAAAATTTTGAGGTCCAAACATGCCTAGACAGTTCTTTTGTTATGTGAAAGGCTATTTTCTGGAATTCTTTAATTTTGTATTTGCAATTTAGACATAATGTAATAAGAGCAACTGTTCTTTAGCACAATAATAAAAGCAACTGATATATCCATAAAAACCTATGTAAGTGATGGAAAAACACAAAAATTTTATGTACCTGTACTTTTACATGGCAAACTAAGCTGTCACTGTCTAAATGGAAGTGGTTTGCATGTTTAACCTAACTATAACCAAATTTTGGAAGGGTCTTTGCTATGTGTATTTTTAATCTTATCAGATTTTTCTTTGTAGATTGAATGTAGTGCTCAGGAGGATGTTGCCCATAGAATTAGAGCAGGATGGGCAGAATGGAGGGGTGCATCTGGAGTCTTATGTGATGGATGAAGACCACTTAGGCTACAAGGAAAATTCTATAGAACAGTTGTAAGGCTAGCAATGTTGTGTATGTAGAGTGTTGGGCAGTCAAGAAACAGTATGTGCAAAAAATAAATGGCAGAAATGCAAATTTTGAGATGAATGAATGGAAAAACTAGAAAGGACATAGAAATGAAGTCATTTGAAGGACCCCTAGGAGTAGCTCCAATAGGTGATAAAATGAGTGAAGGCAGACTAAGATGGTTTGTTCATATTGCAGACAAGGCCATCTCCAGCACCTGTAAGACAAAGTGATCTGTAGCAAGTTGAAGGGGCTAGAAGAGCTAGGGGCGGACTGAGAAGGATATGGATTGAAGTAGTAAGAGATGATTTAAGCACTCCTGATTTGACAATGGATATGTCACTGAGCAGAACAGAATGGAAAAAACAGGATTCATGTAGTCAATCCCATATAGTTGGGCCAACACTTAGATGATGATGATGAGCATGGATATAGTGCTCACCATTATAAGTAGATAACCATCTTCTTGTCCTTGTTTTGCTCTTGTCTTTGATGGATAGAATCTATGTATTTTTTTTTTTTTTTTGCTTCATCTTTGAATACTTGTTTTCTTGATAATTTCTTTCTGATAGTTGTTTATTGTGAGACCGGATACTGGAACAGTATTCATTATATTGCATTTATCATTCATGGTGAACTTTTTCAGTGATAAGACGGATCATTGAGCTATGTCCATTATGCTATTTAACTTGATCATGTATTTTTCACTTGATATTTATGCTGATCCAAAAAGGACAAGGGCTGAAGTAGTAAGAAATGATTAAAGTGCTTATGATTTAACAGCGGATATGACATTAACATGACAGAATGGTGAAACAGGATTCATGTAGCTGGGACCATATAGTTGGATTAAGGCTTAGGTAATAGATGATGATTGTGGTGGTGATAATGTCTAGGATGATCTTTTTCCTATATAGCCTTTGTGATTCAAATTATATGAACTCTCTTTGTAATATGTCTATAACAGTACAGTGGGTTGGGAGATCAGCTAACGCATTTGCCGATGTCTTGGCAAAACAAGGGATAAATAGGGAAACATGTTCTGGGCACAACTGTAACTCTTGTTTAACATCAACATTCATGTAATCTCTGTTGTAATTTTTGTATTTGCTGTTCGGAGAGGCGACACCTTGTGCCTCTAAGGGGATTTTCATGTAACCAATCATTAAATTAATGGAAGATAATTTTATCTATAAAAAAATTCAAATTATATGAACTATCATCTTTGTGGGCCATGCCATCTTTTTAACAAAGGCTCTTGTCTATGATGGTCTTTTTCCTTCTATAGCCTTTGTCATTCAAATTGTATGAGCTATCATTTTTGTGGGCCATGCCATCTTTTTTAACAAAAGGTCCTTGTCTTACACCATTGTCTTATTTTTATTTTTTGTTTATGCAGGCATTTGTCCTCAAATACCTTTTGTTTGCAACTGATGAAGAAGGTAAAGATGCAACCAGTTTGACATCCCAAAATATGGGGGCAAGGAGATTGTCTCGAAGTGAATGTGTCACATTGGGTAATTTTGCTTCTCTAACTGAAGATGGAAAGGCAAGGTGATTATTCTTTTGCCACAATGACCTGATTTTTGTATGCATTTCTGCTATGTAGTGTTAAAACATAAAGTCCATTACCTATCTCCAGGAAAGGCTTTTCACTAGTCCCTTGATAGGTGATTAGTCATTGATTTGTGTTATTGTAAAATAGTTGGCCATTTGTATGTGCTTACATGTTTCCGTTTTAGTATCTTAGATATTTTTCTTAATTTCTTATGTATTATTCCTTTCTTTCTATTCCTAAATATAAGTCTTAGTTCCCTTGTCATGGTTCTTGTCCTGATGCAGTTGGATTTAACTAATGAAGGATTAGTATGCTTGGAAATGGAAATATTCATTTAATTTATTATTTCTAATATTTAGTTTTTTTTTCTTCTTTTTTGGCTTCATAGAGCTATATAATGGGGGTAGCCCATTCCCCATACCCATACCCCTCCCCTCCAACCCTGTTGAGTATTGACAATAGGATTCAATCTTGAGTCTCAGCTAAAGCCTGTGAGAGAACTTGCCAACTGAGCCACCATTAGTTGGCTCCCACTTTTCAGTTTAGAAGTTTATTACATACTGACATATTGATCCATTAAGTACTGTCCAAGTCTGTTCTTAGTGTGTTGGTATTGAAGGGATGAGAGATCCATCATATGGATGGCCGAACCCTTTAGGAAGGTTGGGCGAAATTTCAAAAATTTCTCTCTCCCATGTGGGAATCGCATTCCCTATTTTAGAAAATTGCATTTTCAAGGATCAATCTTGAAACAAACCAGACCAGATCTGAAACCAAAAAGGTAGGAGAGGGATATACCTGATACGGAGTAACAGTAACTCCCAATGAAGGTGTTCACGCCCAAGGAAAAAACCAAAGACTGCTACCACCGAAGATGACACGGTGTGAGGTGAAGCAGAACCAGCAAGACGATTCTTCAACAAGAACCGAATTCTTCAGCAAGAATATGATGGAGGGTTGATGAGCATGACTTCAGATTGCCTCTTCTGGCAAAAGGCAATATCAAGAACTGTTCTTGATCACTCCCATTGGTGGAGATCGAACTGGGTAGGGCGACAAGAGTAGGAACAAGAGCAGAAGACAAAGCAGTCGAACTGTATATTATCTTCTCTCTTAATTCAACAGACTATCTGATGTATCTGTTGTGTCTCTGTAGGTTCACCCTGCTCTCTTATTTATAACCTTAAAGAGAGGTTCTCCTAATCCTATTAGGAGTTTCCTAATCCAAATCTTTTATTTGGATTTGGACTCTCTTTAAGAGATAAGGATAATCCCTTATCTTATCTGTAGATAAAGATCAACCTTCCTAATCTAATTAGGAGTTTCCTGATCCAAATCTTTATTTGGGTCTGAACTCTTTGAGTGGATAAGGATAATCCCTTATTCTATTTGCTGATCCAAATCCTAGAATTGTCCTCATTTAATTAATCTTATTAAGCCAGTTCGAATTGGGCTTTAGGCCCATTAAGTCTATGTGCTCACTAGCCCTCTTAATTTGCTGCCTAGTTGGCTATCCTTGTATGGCGTGAGACCCGAACATTGATCTACACATCAGCCACATGGGTTCAGCCCAGCCTCTGTTACAAGGCCTGTCCGAATTCACTGTAGGAGACAGTGAATCCTTGAGTCCATCACCATGGGCTCTTAATGGGCCCAACATTTACACTAAATGGTCTTTGGGTCAAGCCACCTTATAAAACCCAAGGACTATGGGCAGATGTAAGATTAGCCCATCAGGTATTACCCTCAATGGTCTTACACTTAACCTCTCAGCCCATAATGATCAAACACCCCGACAAGGGAGGACCTCTCCCTCGGCTGCAAGGTACAATGCTACACTCTCTACTCACATGGATCTAAGCAATTAAAACCTTTTGCAAACATTTTGAAACCGTAATGTATATGTATATCTTTATATAAATATATTTTGCAAAATCAAATTTCAACGATTGAAATCAACTGCTGGCGGTTTTGGTTTCCATCAAAGGGAGTGCATCCCCGATCATTCACTTTGTCTGACAAAGGGGTTGATCCTGTCACCATGATCACCCACTCAGATGAATTCTCGGACCATCCCAACATACCAAGGTTTTGACCCCCTCTAAGGATCTCATTGATTGGTATATCAAAGACAACCCAATCCGACACCTAGTGTAGTATCATAATCGAGTCTAGGGGTCAGGTGTATCATTCCAGTTTTGCCCATCTATCTCTAAGGCCCAGGGCAATATTGGAATTTTGGTCCGATGCAGGGTTTCAAGAAAACCTACACTGCATGTACCTCAGGTCTCACCCTGGCAGCTGAGACAGGCCACCCCAACCAACTTGGCGGCACATCAGTGTCAACCTTGGCAGGATAAATCTCCCCAGATCTATCCAACGGCTGTGAAGATTCTAAACTAACACGAGTCTCATAWGTGTCYAGTTTAARGGTATTACACAGAAACACACCATAATAACATGAATAAAATATGTACTTTATTCATTTACATTAAATGTCATAATGTGCATCGTTCTGATTGGAGCTAAGGGCATACACTGTCTAATAGGTATGTGTATTTTGTAGCATCAAGATTACTTCTTGCATATATTCACAACAGCTACAATCTTCTTTTGCATTTAGCTGCATAACACAGAATGTAGAGTGTTGAAATGTTAGGTGTGCCTGATCAGATTGCCTACCCAGATCAATGGTTGTTGTCTCACTGATAAAAAGGGAGACGTTTGAATTTTCTTCTTAGTGATTTAAATAATAATAAGTGAACAAGTTAAATCAAATTTACTCTTGCAATTCCAGTAATGTTTATAACTAGGACATTTGGGTGTTCTTTTTTATATTTCAGTATTTACCTTCCTAAGTCTTTTGCCAGCATGCTGCATTGGACAGTTTTTGTTGACATCAGTTAACATTTTGCAGAGCTCTGGTTCATAGTATGATGGAAATACTATTTTCATGTGGCTGTAAGAAAAGGGCTACTGTTGCAACATTGAGTGTCATCAACCTCCCTGTTGAGGACAGATCTGAAGGTGGTCAAAAGGATGACGTGAGTGCCTCTAAGTTGATATTATCGTATTTGTTGTAGATTAACCTTGTGCTGCAGTTATTTCGTTACAGATTGTGTCTTAATTTGCTTATAGTGAATTTGTTATGTATATAACCTACAGATAATTGCAAAAGCCTTGGAAGGCCTTCAAATTGAATCAGCTTCAGACTTGCACAAGTTTTTAAGAGTCAAGACATATAGTTCGGCAACCAGTGCTTTTCACGGTCTCAAGTCAATGCTTCCCATTTTTCAAAGTCGAATGGGAGCAATACTGTTCCTCATTTCTGCATTACTTTCTCGAGGACTGGTATGCTTGCCAATTGATAGCATCTCTCTTTTTCTCTTTCGTGCATTTTTAACAGTCAAACTTTCTCTTGGCTGTTGCACCTCTTTTATCATTGCCTTTCATCACAACACTGTGTATGAAAATGTCACTTAGCTTATTTAGTCCTTGTCTTTTATCTGTGGGGTTGGGGTGCTGGGAACTGCGACTAGGGCTGCTAATGGAACTGATATTGCTCCAGTCTGATCCTAATCTGGTTTGATTATTCTGGATTTGATGTTCCTTATTCAGATATGGTGCACATTTAAATTTCAAATCATTTTAATATCAAATTGTGTTGGATATATACCGTGACTTAATCCAATAAATATCCAATCTGAAGCTCCCTCTTGATGACAGAGATCAAAAGGTAAAATGAAAACTAATAAAAAAGAAACATGATCTAAATCAGTCAAGATATATCAAGAAAATATGTCAAAAACACTCCTAGATGGATTTTAGAGTTGTATTAATTTTCGGGGGAAAGAGAATGTAGAAGAGACTGAAGAGGGGGAAAAGTGGAATATCAGAAAACCAATGAGGGAATCTGGGCAATTCATTTCTCCAACATGGCAAAGGAGAGTTACATGTCTACTTCGCTTTTTAATATTATCTTCTTATTTTGTGATTTTATTTAATAATTACCATGCTTTTCCTTCTGTTGCTTATCAGTTTTAGTGCTAGTGTGATGCTGAGGGTACCATCGATGCCAACTACATAAATTGGATTGTTCTGATTTTGATTTTGGATTTAAATTTAGGTGTATTTTTAACAGATTTATTCATTATAGATTCAGATTGGATTGGGTTAGTATCCGATCCATTGATAGCCTAACTGGAATTCAGGGAAAATGCAATGTTAGCCAGAAGGAAGATCTTAGTATGCACTCATAGCTCTGTTTCTACTGAGGTGAGTTCTTATACAAGTGAAGACTTGATCTTTCGGCATGAAGCTAACAACTTTTTTATAGTAAATGAAAAAAATTATAAAAATGGAATTGATAAAAAAATTATTATAATGGAAAAGGATTACAATATGCTAGTTTAGAGTTTTCACCAAAACATTAGATCCAAGTCAAGAAATGAAAAAAGAAAGATAGCCAACTGCTTTGCAACTCACTTCAAATCCATTTTGAGTAGGCTGCTGGAGAGATGGGTGAGAGTGGAAGATTTAGATAGGCCAAGTCTATCGGCCGTTGAGGTGAATTGGTTAGAAAGAAACTTTGAAGAGGAAGAGATAAGACAAGTTGTTTTCTCTATGGACAGGTCAAAGGCTCTTGGACCAGATGGTTTTACCATGGCTTTCTATCAAGAGTGTTGAGACACTATCAAACAAGATTTGTTTGAGGTATTTAGGGAGTTTGAAAACAACCATGTGATTAGTCGGAGAGTTAATGCCACTTTCTTAGCTCTCATCCCGAAGAGATTAGATGCCAAACACCCTAAAGATTTCAGGCCGATTAGTTTGGTGACTGGCATCTATAAGATTGTGGCAAAAATGCTTTCTTTAAGGATTAAAAAGGTCCTCCCGTCTCTCATTACTCAAACCCAAGGAGCCTTTATACAAGATAGGCAGATTATAGACCAGATCCTTATAGCAAATGAATGTGTGGAGGAAATGAGGAGATCAAGCAATTAAGGTTTTATTTGTGAGCTGGACATTGAGAAGGCCTACAACTCAGTGGATTGGGACTTTCTAATTAGAAGTGCTAAGAAAATGGGGATTTGGGGATAGATGTTGTAGGTGGGTGGGTGGATGCATAACATCTTGCTAGTTTTCAGTTCTAGTTAATGGAGGGGTCAAGGATTTCTTCCCAGCATGTAGAGGTCTCAGGCAAGGAGATCCTCTTTCCCCCTTTTTGTTCACACTTGTGGTAGATGTGCTCAGTAGAATGATTTCTAAAGCAGATAGGGAAGGGCTAATAAGTTGTTGGAGGATAGGCAGGAATAATGTCCCGGTGACTCATCTTCAGTTCGTTGATGATATCATCATTTTTTTTTGTGAAGGGGGAGACTTAGGGAGAGTGAGGAACCTAAATGATCTTATTAAATCCTTTGAGTTTGCTTCAAACCTAACAATTAACTGACAAAAGTTGTGTGGTGGGAATCAATTTGGAAGTTTTGGAGGTAGAAGGTATAGTAGGTTGTCTAGAGTGTTCCATTTTTGATTGGCCTTTAACCTACTTGGGTCTTCCGTTAGAAGCTAACCCAAAAGAAAGTCGGTCTGGTATCTAATTGTGGAAAAGTTTGAAAAGAGGTTGGCTTCTTGGAAAAAAAGTTATATTTCGATAGGGGGTAGAGTGACCTTGATTAGGGTGACACTTGCTAGTCTTCCGATTTATTTTCTTCCAGTATTCAAGATACTCTTAAGGGAAGCCAAGAAGCTAGAAAAGGTGATGAGGGATTTCTTGAGGGAGCCAGGGGAAGAGAAGAAGGATAATTTGATTAGGTGGGAGATAGTCAACAAGAGTAAGGAAGAAGGGGGATTAGGATTGGGAAACCTAGTTCTTAAGAATGAAGCTCTACCAGGGAAGTGGGTTTGGATATGGCCATTGGAGAGAGAGAGGTTGTGGCACAAGGTGGTAAATAGTATTCATGGTTATTCATAGCAATGTTTTAAAAGGTGTGGGAGGCGTGGTGCTCCCAAAACGCCCTGAGGTGTATGCCAAAGGCGCTGACACCTCTGAGGCGTACGCCTCATGCGCTTTTTTCATGAGGCATGCTAGAGGCGTATGCCTCATGCACCTCATGCACATCTTATATAAAAAGACAGAAAAAAAAAAAAGAAAAAAGAAGAAAAAGGAAAGGAAAGGAAAGGAAAAGAACGGGGAGGGAAAGAAAAAGAAAGAGAAGAAAAAAAGAGAAAAGGAAAGGGAAGGGAACAAAAGGTAAGGGGAAAGAAAGTGGTTTGCCCCCTACCCCTTCCGCTTCGACAAGACCCCCCCTTTCAACTAATGTTATGCATCTTTATTCTTCTTAACATAAAAGGTTTTATTAAAAATAAAGAAAAAGCGAGATCCCCCCTTCCTCTTCATCCTCCTCCCATTCCTCCTCCTAACCCCCCTCCTCTTAAGGAGGCTTACGCCTCTTGCGTTCTGAACTATGCCTCATGGCTCTAGGTAGTGGAACGCCTCGCATCACGCCTCCGCATTTTAAAACATTGGTTCGCAGAACGGTTGGGATGCCGGGGTGTCTCGACGGGCAACTCTTGCAATACCCTGGAAGGCTATACATGGAACCTTTCCCCATTTTCTCAATCTGGTCAGGTATGATGTTAATTCCGGAAACAATGTTCTTTTTTGGGAAGACATTTGGGTAGGCAACCAACCTCTTAAAGACCTTTTTCTCTCTCTTTACTCTCTTTCCCTTTATAGGGAAGAGTCGGTTTCTAGTTTTATTTCCTCCTCAGCTTCTTCTGTTGCCCTAAATTGGGATTTTGGTTTCCATAGAGGGTTACGTGATGATGAAAGTGCTTGTGTTTCAGAACTGTTGTCTTTACTTGAGTTTATTTGTTTAGATCCCCTCAAACCTGACACAAGAATTTGGACCCCTAACCCAAAAGGCTTTTTCACTTGCTCCTCTTTCTTCAATTCCCTTTGCTCCACTTTTGCACCCTAGAACTTCCCAGTTAAAGATTTCTGGACTAGTCCCATTCTCCCAAAGATGCTGTTTTTTGTTGGGAAGTTATTATGGTAAGATTAATACATTTGGAAACCTGCAAAAGAGGAGACCAAAGTGGTGCTTATCCCCCTAATTGGTGTGTTCTTTGTAAGATCTCAGAATGAGGACTGTCACCACTTACTGGTCTCTTGCTCCTTTGCTACAGATTTATAGAATTGGAGTTTTATGTTGTTTGAGTGTAGGTGGAACCTGCCATTTGATACTAGCTTGCTGTTTAGTCCGTCTATCTTTGAATGGCATACAAAAAGAGGGATAATTATGTGGAAGTGCATAAGAGCAGTCTTGTTGTGGACAGTTTGGGAAGAAAGGAACACCAGAATTTTCTGTGGAAAAGAAAGGAGCTTATCGAAAGTTAAAGAAATGTATTCTGACAAGGGCAATTCAATGGTTGAAAACTCTAAAGCTCTTTGATGTATACTCTTTTGATGACCTATGGAGAAACTAGTTAGTAGTGGCTAATACATCTACCGGGAAGGACAGACATGTGGTTGAATGGATGCCACCAGGGGAGGAATTTATTAAGCTGAGCTTTGATGGAAGTAGCTGAGGAAATCTAGGTCCTTCAGGCGTAGGAGGGGAGTGCTGAGAACCAAAGACAGTAGCATTATATCTTTGTACTCAGGTCCTGCGGGTGTGGGAGACTCTTTAAGGGCCGGATTACTTGCTGTTGTACAAGGAATCCAGCTTGCAAATCAGCTAGGCATAAAGCATCTGATTATTGAAGGGGATTCCCAGGTGATAGTGGGTTGGCTGAAGGATCCGGACACTGTGATCTGGGGTTTTAGAGATATTCTCGAAAAGGTTTAATGGCTAAAAAGGAATATGACAATCAGAGTTCAGTGGGTAGGCAGATCAACAAAGTCAATGGCTGATTCACTTGCAAAACAGGGCGTTCTTCAGGGTACTTTATTTTGGGCTTCTGTGTAATTTCTTTTGTATTTATAATTCTGTAACTAGTTTTAAAGGAAAGGTCATATCTTTGTGCCTTTCCATGGGTTGCATGTAACTCTTATTTGCTGGTTTATAAAATCTTATTCATTTATCAAAAAAAAAAAAATACTGCTCATGGCTTATGGATCTAGATCCCCTTTGGTAATATCTAATGAGGATCAAAGTTTATCTATAAGATCCTCCTATTCAGCTCTTTAGTTTCTGAAAGGGGTAGGGTCCAACCCTCCACCAAAGCTTTCTGCCACTGTTTTTTTGTTCTTTTTCTAAACTTATATTTATCTTCAAATGTGTGACTGTTTCTTTCTCTCCAAATACCCCAACAAATTGCAAATGGGATAACCCTCCCACCATATTAGCCTTGCTGCTCCTTCCCAATTGTGAGCTCAGCCAAGTGGAGAAAACCTCCTTTGTTCAGATGGATTAATTTTCTAATGTTGAAAATAGTGAAGAAACTCCCAAATGAAAATAAGTGGATTTTTAATATGTGAAAGATGTTTTGCGTTCTTTTCTTCCTTGAAAGCAATACTTGTGTTTGTCAGCTGAAACCTTCTTGACTTCAAATGGTTTATGATTAGAAATTAGAATGCTGTCCAGATCAAACAACCAAGCAAATGCCTACCCTTGGAGGAATTGAGTTCCCCCAAACTCTCTCGACAATGGAGTTTATAGTGAGGCTAATTTGTCTGTATTGATTGATCTAATAATTTGTAGCTTTGGTTGGGTATTACAGTGATATCCCATGACCCTAGCTTTTTGACTTTGGAGAAGTGTTAAGTTAACTAAATGGATATTGAATTTACAAGGGTGAAAAGAAACTTGTTGTCTTTGATGAAGCTATGCTACTGTATGCAAGCAACATTTTCTAATAATGCCATCTAAAATTTTCTCTACTTCTGTTAATTAAGATTGATCAATGATAGCAGGTTCAGCTGCTTAGTGGCTTAAGTTGAGGAGCATAAAATTTGTCCTCTGCGCACTTTGTTTATTTGCTTTTGGTAACTTCAAACTTGTATAAGCTTCAACTGAATAGACTAAAGGCATAGAGGTTTAGCTTCTTTTGGAGGATTTTTTTTAGATGATTCGGTCAGCTATATGTTGGCCTCTTAGATGCTTGTGTTGTATCTTCTGTATCTATCTCTTTGTTTGTTCTGATCTATCCCTTCTTATGTAACTCTCACATGGCAGAGTCTCTATACATCAACTATATCTTATTGATCCTTAATTAATGTTAATTGTTAAATATTATTTATTTATTTAATTGAAAATCAGAAAAATGTGAGACTTGGTTACCTTATAGGATCTGGAAGTGTGGCTTAATTTCATTATTTTTTTTGAAGATCATAAAATTTATAAAAAAAGAAATATTACATCAAAAGGTGATAAGGCATCACCAACCATAAGCAAGGCACCAAGCCTCATCCAAAACTCCCAACATGAACCTTTCCAACCCAGAACCAAAATCAGCCCCCAAAAGTCCAAACCCATTTTTAACCCAAGACCCTTCAAACCATAGAAAAAAAAGGAAAAAGATAATCCAATTGAATCAAACCCATTTGCAACCCAAGACCCTTCAAACCATAAGCAAGGCACCAAAGATCACTCCCAACCCTGACCTCTACCTGACAATAGAAACACCCAACTCCAAACTAAACCCCTAAAAGAAACCAAACTCAAACCCCTCCTTAATTGTAACAATGTATTTTCTGCTTCTGGGCTTTCTTAATTTTCTTGATAGGACCACCTCCCATTAAACCCATCTTCAATCTGCTGTAAACTCTGGAAAATTGAACGGTTTGAAGTCCATTTCCTTTTCAACTTCATGAGTTTCTTTGAAAGTAATTTCATCTTCCTCCTCTAAGATTTCAGCCTCCGGTTCCACTTCATTCTCATTATCTTTGTCTAGTGGGAAAGTTCTATACTTCTTTTAAATCAACTTCCTCCATTTCCTCCTTGATTCCATCTTTTTCGCCAATGTCCCCAATAACACTATAATCACGTACTGCCCCTTGTATTCCAACTTCTGATTCCATCTCCTCCTATGGATGCACATCTGCCCCCATTCCTTCCTCTACAATTGGTTCCCCAATCTTAAGACCAACACTGATCATTGAATCCTTCTTCACATTCAAAGAAGAACCCTTTTTTTCTATTACTTTTCTCCATCGCGGCCAGCATGAATGGATGGGCCTGTCAATTTCCTTTTCTAACCTTGTATTGCTGAGAACACATTCTGGACCCACCAATATTCCCTCCCCCAACTTCGATTTTGAGTTGCCCTTCTTTCTCATCTCCTCTTTCTTTTTTGTAGAAATAAGATGTGCACCATGCAAATCCATCCTTGTCCTGAGATGTGAAGGTCTGAACTTCTGTAATTTCTTTTTTGTTGTCGACCTCCTTCTTGCATCTATGCATCTGAACAGGAGAAAATGACGATAGACCACTACCATTGTCTATCGGTGTGTTATCACCATTCATACACACTTCAGGCAGACCCATTACATGTGACTTAAAAATAACACTTGACCATCGTTCTGGACCACCCTCCTCCGGTTGAACCAAAAGATAACTATTAGAGTTTGGCTCCTTGGACTCTTCTAAAACATTAATTTCCTCATTTCCATTTCCCATAAGTGTTCCTCGAGGACTGAGCCACAGGCTGCTCAAAGTTATCCTTTAGCCCACCTTGAGAACCACCTTCTTTTCCAAATGCTTGTTCATCTTCCCAAGCAACCTTAAACTGCTGACCCACTTTATTCACCTTTACTCTTCTGCACATGGAACCCACTCTGCCATCATGTCATCACCTTGAACCTCCCGCCCCTGACTGCACAAGGACACTTCAGCTTATGTAGTAATTCAAATCTTGTACCAGTGACCATTAATCTGAACTTCAATCGCTCGAGGGATCATCTCTGGCTTCACACCTGTTAATCTTGAACAAACTGCTCTGAGATCTTGCAAGTTTGCATCTTCCATCATTGCTCCTCATAAATCTGCAATCTTCACCAACAGCTCTTCACACCATAGGTTGAATGGTGATCCAAAAAAGGCTAACCACTAATCTGTCTGTCTTCACCAATTTCTGATTACAGGAAGGAACCCATCTTTCCACTTGGAGCACCCCCTGGACCAAAAGGGCCCAGAATCCTCAATCTTAAAAAATTCCTTGATAGTTTCCTCAACAAACCTCCAATTCAGAACTTTCTTAGACAATTTCACAACCAGAAAATCTTCCCTTTGTTCGTTCTCTCTGTTCAGCAGAATCTTGGGTATTTCAGCTTTACTGAACATTGCCAGGTTTGATTTTTTTCATCTCTTCATCCTCTCTGTGTGATCCTGCCACTTGCCTCTCCTCAAATGTTCTTTTTGTCATTGATATGGTCTGAACGGGATTAATCTGCTCAGTCAGTTTTTGCTTTCTCTTTTTGTTTTTTCCTCTCTCATTTATTGTTTAAATATAATGACCTGCTCTTATAAGAGGGAAGCAAAATCTATCCATCCCTTCAAAATTCTCCCTTGAGGAATACGAATCATTTATCGTCTGTGCAGCAGATAAATCTTCCTTGTTCTCCAAACGCCTTGCAGCAGATAAATTTTCCATTAGCATTTTCCTTCCTCTCCACTTAATCTTTTTCTTGGAATTTTAATCGTATCCTTCCAGTGTGTTTTCCAATCAACATAGGTTGCACCTACGGCGGATCCCTTAAACCATTCAACCAAGTTCAGATCCAACATCCAAGAGAACTGTTGCCTTCCCTACTTCCCTTATCTTTAACCAAAGCTGATCACATCTTCTGATTTTCTCAAACATGGACATCTTGGACTCAATCACACATGTCTTTGTCCAGGCTTCTACAGTCATCTCAATCATCTGTCATCTGGTAGTCATCTCAAACATGAACATCTTGGACTCAAGAATTTTTGTTTCCCCCTGTTTACTTACAATAATTATATGTTAGTGTTGTTCAGAAAATACATGTACCTGGATCTATTTTTCACTGTTTATTTTGCAGTTACTTGGCCAATCAACCATCTTATATTACGTTTTATCAGAATCTGTTTTTCATTTTTCCTTGGTTCTTGTTTCTATTAAAGCATTTAAAGATTTTGCTGTTGTAGGAGTCTGTTCAAGCAGACAGAGATGATCCTAGCCTACCATTGGTCACTGCACCATTTGGACATGCCTCACAGGTACACCATTCACTGAAATGTTATGTTCTGCAGGTTTCTGTAGTTTGATTGCAGCTGTTGGATGCTTATCACTAATTTGGCTGCACCAGATGATACAGTTTGTTGCTTTTGATGGTCATGGAACAGGAAATTGTAAACCTACTGCTTTGCGGGCTGGCTGTCCCTAATGTGTTTGATGGGAGGATGGATTTAGGAGGTGGCATGTTTCTAAAGGGCATACCTACTAGTGTGGAAGTTGGATTCCTTACTTTGCTGGAGTCTCTCAATTTCTGTAAGGTTGGGCAGCATCTGAAATGCCCAAAGTGGCCAATATGGGTGGTGGGAAGTGAATCACATTACACAGTCCTTTTTGCTCTTGATACCCACGTCCAAGATGAGAATGAACTGGAAGAACGGGAGTCACAGATCAGGAAAGCATTTGATGCCCAAGACCAAAGTGGTGGAGGAGGCTTCATCAGTGTGGAAGGACTTCATCAAGTCCTCAGGGAAACAAACATTAGCCTGCCACCTGAGAAGCTTGATCACCTTTGTAGCACTGGCTTTATAGTTTGGAGTGAGTTCTGGCAAGTTTTGCTCGAGCTGGATAGGAGTTCAGGAGGTCTGAAAGATTCTACTGGATTGATGGGTAAGAAAGTATTTGATCTCTACCATTTTAATGGAATTGCAAAGTCTGTACTAAATGGAAGCCAAGCAACCTCCGGAGGTGGGAGTCCAGTGCAGAGACCAAGACTCACAAAATTAAGAGTTTCAGTCCCACCGAGGTGGACTCCTGAGGAGTTTATGGCAGATGTGGTTGTTCCCTCCGGTCCAGGTGAGAATAATAGTGGTAAAGACACTGTCATTGAAGTTACCCAGCTTGAACCCCCACAGCATGCACCATTGGTGGATTGCATCAGAACTCGCTGGCCTCGAGCTGTCTGCAACTGGAGTGGAGACCCCCCTAGTATAGTCTGACTGATTGGTCAATAATGTTCTTGGTCAAAGCATAAGGAGGTATAAGAGTCTGCTTTCTTTATGAGATATTACAGGAAGCATGCATTTACAAAGCAAGAAGACAAGAGGCATCAGAAAATATGGGCTTCATCAGTTTGCAGTTGCATAATCTCCAGTTAAAGGAGAAAGCATGATTTGGTAAACCCAGGGAGGTGCTTGTGGAATGCCATTTCTATTGTGTAGTATTGTAACTTCACATCATAATTCCCTAGTGTTAGATAATTAGGGGGAAAGGGAAGGAACGAGTCCCGTAAACCATACTGTAATATTTAATTTGTTTTGTCCAATATCATTGTAAGTGGAGAAGTTTTCCAGGCCTCGGGGTGTTAAATGACATGGATTTGTGTGATTGGTATGATGTTTTACCACAATTGTTTTTTTATTCCATCGTAGAGCCTGCAGGGAATTGGTATGATGCTTGTTTTCAAGCTCCATTATATCTTTAAATGTCTCAATCTTCTATTGATGGACTACACTACTTATTTACTGCATATGCATCAAAGGATGGAGCGAGTTGACCCGAAATAAGAAGTGGACAGAACATCTTCTACAAGCAGGTCGGACTATTATGATCTAACCCGTTTGGTATGGCTTTTGTGTTGTGTTAATTGAGCTACAGTGGTTGAGCATCGGTGTTCAGTTGCTTTATATTTTGAGCAGTGGTTTGAGTGTTTTGAAAGCCTATATTGGTCCAGACTCCAGATTTTACCAAACAGAACTTCTGGTGTTACCGTAAATGCCAGAAGCTGTGTCCCAGAAGCTCAGTTTGGAAGGAGTACAAATACAATTATGTACAGTACAGATATAAAATAATACAAAATACAAGGTTTTGCGCTCGGATGCTTAAAAAGCAGTGAGTAGGGATGGGAATCAGCAGCATAAAATAGTTCATGGAATATGGATATGTATCCATGGGATGGTCAAATATAATATTATTTAATAGATAAAAGAAAGGGAGAGTGGATTTTATGGCACCACTATCCCTTTTAATAGAATCCCACTCCAATTATCTTTTATTCTCTCATCCATTCTCCCATAAAAAAACGTTATTGTTTTAAGCAACTGTAACTCTAAAAAACACATCCATTCTCATTTATATTAGGATTAAAAAAATTAAGAATTATTTAAATATTATGATGAATTATGTAATAACTTTCAAATATTTATTAAAAACACAAAAATAATTGTAATATATTTAATAACATTCAGGTTACTACAATTTTATATTTTTACAAAATTCATAATGGAATTATGTAATAACAATATGAATTATAATTTTATGGATTATTCAAATTAATAACTAAATAATATTAAAAAAAGTTAACTAACAAAATTATTTAAACGTTATTAAATAAATACTTTTTTAAAATATTTTAATAACTAAATATTTTAAGTAACAAAATATTAAATGTTAGAGACAAGTTGAAAGTTTAGAAAGAGAGAGAATGAGACAACAAATTTGGTGGGTGTGACACAATGTGACAGTGGGCACCTTAAAAGTTATATTTATATTAAAAAGGTAAAATGATAAATCTGCCCTTAGTGTACAAAAGAAAGAGAGTACAAAGAATAGTTGTACAATAAAGAAGAGTAAAAGTACAAAAATAGCCCTATGACTAGATCTTTTCATTGTCTCTACACTCCCCCTCAAACTAATGCCTTGGAATAAGTATCAGTTCGTTCATGAGAAATAGATGCCGAGCTGGAGTCATTGCTTTAGTCAACAGGTTTGCTAGTTGGAGCCTGGAGGAGATGTGAGGAAGAGATATGGTACCCTCAAGAAGGAGATCGCGGATGAAGTGACAATCAACTTCTATGTGTTTGGTGCATTCATGGAAGGCGGGGTAGGAAGCAATTTTAATTGCGTTGACATTGTCCACATAGAGAGAAACATATGATGATGGTTCATTAAGTATTTCAAATAGAAGTGCTCGAAGCCATATGGTATCACTACACACGGAAGACATAGCCCTATATTAAGCTTCAGTGAAAGATTTGGACATAGTGGATTGTTTCTTACACTTCCACAAGATAAAAGAGTTGCCTAATAATACACACCAACTAGTAGTGGACTGTCGGGTGTTAGGGCATCAAACCTATGAGCATCCGCATAAGCCATAAGGTTAATAGGAGATGAGGAGGAGAAAAATATCCCGTGTGATAGGGTGTCTAACACATATCTAATGATTCGATGAACTATAGATAAATGAAGTTGTCTTGGGGAAGACATGAACTGACTCACTATCTGAACTGCATAAGATATATCTAGCTGAGTCATGGTGACATAGATTAAACTGCCCACTAGTTGACAATAAAGGGTAGGATCTTCAAGAAGAGAACCATCATCTTTGTTGAGTTTTAAATTCAGTTCTAGTGGGGTGCCCACAATCTTAGAGTCACTAAGATTTTCTAGTTTAACGAGATTAGTCGCATACTTTTATTGGTTAAAAAAATAGCCCCGAGAGTTTCTGCTCACTTCAAGTCCCAAGAAATATGTCAAAGGCCCCAAGTCCTTTATCTTAAAGGACTCATTGAGTAACTGTTGTAGCCTAGCAATTCCTTTTGTATCATCCCTTGTAATGAGTACATAATCAACATAGAGGAGTAATATTGTTACTCCTTACTTCCGCCTTAAGATGAATAAAGAATAATCATAAGAACTCTAGATAAATCCAGCATCAGTGATGACAAATCTGAACTTCTCAAACCAGGCCCTAGGAGCTTGCTTTAGGCCATAAAGTGAGTTCTTCAGACGACAAACAAGCTGCGGGTCTGTACAATATCGATGAGGGAACTTCATATAGATTGTCTCTTTCAACTCCCCATGAAGAAAAGCATTCTTGACATCCATTTAATGGATTATCCATTGTTTGGCTACCGATACAACCATCAGAAGTCGTATAGTGGTCATTTTATCTACATGAGCAAATGTCTCATCATAGTCTATCCCATATTCTTGTTTGTAGCCTTGTGTAACCAACCTTGCCTTGTATCTGTCTAGGCTTCTATCGGATTTCGGTTTTATAGAGTAGACCCATCGACTTTCTATGAGAGATGTCTCAGGTGGAGCTTTGACCAAGTCTTAGGTGTCATTCTCAAGAAGGGTTTGAATCTAAGAATCCATGGCATCTTTATAGTGTGGTTCTACTATAGCCTACTGGTTATATTTGGAAATGTCTGTGGTAGATAAAACAACACAAAAAGAGCTATGGTCTGGTGAAAAACCATAACGGTCAGGTGGGCGAGAAATTATAGAGGAATGGCGTAAAGTGGGTGTAGTAGGTTCAGGGGGAAGGTTAGGTACACTTACTGAGGCAGCTAGAGTGATTGGATTAGCAACTGGTGGCAGAGCAGAGGGGGGCATTAAGACTGAAGAAGGCCGTTGCTTTCTAAAGTAGGTTTGAAGTTGTTGCAGAAGTGACAATGTAATATCTGAGGTACCTGTAGAATCAAAACTGTGCAACAAGGAAATGGAAGGAACTGGGAATTTTACAATATATTCAAAAAAGCAGGCATTTTCAAGGAAAACTACATTACGAGATATTCTAATACGACAAATCAAAGGATCATAGCAAATGAACCCTTTATGTTTAGCGTTATACCCCATAAAGGCACACAAAGCTCTTTGTATAGTTAACTTTGTGCGTTCATGAGGTGGAAGGTGGACAAAACAAACACAACAAAAAACCCCGAGTATAGATAGGTCTGGGGGTTTGTGAAAGAGAGACTAAAAAGGAGAAGAATCATTCAAAATAGATGACAAAAAACGATTAATGAGATACACAACAATGTTGGTTGCCTCCACCCAAAACCAAGAGTGTACATGGGAATCTTGTAGAAGTGTTCTGACTACACTCAAGATGTGCCCATTCTTCATTTTTGCTACCCTATTTTGTTATGGGGTGCTTGGATAGGATTTTTGGGGTTGAATTCCATGTTGTTTTAAGCAAGGATTCAAATATAGACACGATATGCCCAATACGAGGTGTATCGTATCGGTATCGGCCTTACCCGGCACACGATCCTACCAGTCATGTGTATCGGAGCGTTCGATACGGGTGCGTATCACCTTGTATCAAATACGTATCAGTATACCATGCAATATAGATCGATACACGCGAGCACACACGAGCTTTTTTATTAAAAATGAAAGACAATCGCATGACTCAAACCTGAGTCCTCCTAGATGACAGGCATGTTTAAGGCAACTCATAAACCATTTAGACAACTTCACATTTGTGTAAATATTTAAAATAAAATAACTTTTATTAGGTATAGCATTTAAATAGTACATGTAATTCAAATAAATAATATATTTATGTTCAACAATTTTAACTAAAAAATGTAAAGAACAATATTCAAAATTGATATTTTATAAACCTATGGAATAAATAATCTATCAAATCTACATTAAAACAAAAAGATGATTTTAATTTCTAGAAATTTATGCAACTAAAATATTAATAATAAAATAAGGGAAATTGTCTAAAACTCACCATGAGTATTCAACATTTCTCTTAAACTCACCACAACTTTTCAAAATGTCTAAAACTTAGCTTGTCAGTAAGTTTTTATTTTTCAAAACTCACCTTCCGTTAGTGCTTTGTTAATGCTTCTTAACAGAGGTGTCCATGTCAGCATAAATAACAATTATCATAACCAGATTACCCTTGAATGGTGAGTTAGTGGAAAAATGATCTTTTTCAGTTTTCAATTTTCTTGTTTTTTTTTGAATTTTTAGTGGTTTGTTATAATTTCCAATGATTTTTTATAATTTCTATTTTTTACATTTTTCTATTTTCTACAATCTATAAATCTTCTTGTATTTTTGTTATTTATTTACAATTTTTGTGTTATGTTTTTTCTACAATTTTTATTTTCTGATTTTGTTTTTCAATTTCTATAGTTTTTGTAATTTAAAAATAATTTTTTATTTTGTTTGCAATTTCTATAATTTTTTATATTTTTTGTAATTTCTATATATTTTTCCTTTTTTCATGTCTAAATATTAAAATGGTAATATATTATTACCCACGGATTTATTTTGTATATATTTTATATTTTTCTATGAAGTTTAAAATGGTAATATATTAACACCCGTTAGTTTGTTTAACGTCAAGTAAGTGACATGGTGAGTTTTAGACATTTTGAAAAGTTGTGGTAAGTTTAAGAGAAATGCTAAAAATGTTTAGAAATATTTGAGAGTATAATATTAAATAACAACATATTAAATATTTACAAAAATAAAAAATGTTAGAAAATATTTGAGAGTATAATATTAAATAGAATCTATCAACTCTACTAATCAACATTTATACCAAAAAATGATTTTTAATTTTATAAAAAACTATAGAAACAAAACTATCAATAATGTAATAATTATATTAGTAATTAAAAATTTAAATATTATATCTTAGAAATTTTAATAGATT